AATCGCAAAGGCCATGGCAAGGGATGCGGCAGAGGACATCGCTAATTGCAGCAGTGAAAACATCACAGCTTGCCAACCTGGCTGGCGCAAAACAGGGTTTCGGGTTTAGGGTAACCATTCCCGGCCGACTCCCCAAGCCCTGATGCAAAAGGCTGACCCTCTGCAAACTTTTCAAAGTACCTTTTATCTTACTTCGCCTTTAGTTGAACTTTAAACTTTTTGGTTTTCCTTATTCAGTAGGAATATTAAAGCTTAACCTTTTTTCCCCCTTGGTTATTGGAGAAGTAAGTTATAGGATGCAGGGTCTTATTGTCTGCCAGTCCTGGGTCCACAGGCATACGGGCGGTTATAGGGTGCTATAGGCTGTTTAGAGGCTACAGTATGAAAAGTTCCTGGGGTATATAGTTTTTTTTGCAGTCCCAAATCCCTAAACTTAAACCCTAAACCCAAGATGTTTTTTGGGGGGATTTAGAGTTTAGGGCCGTGCGTCGACGCCCAGCTTCGCTGCAGCCGACACCGGCTCAAGGATGCGCATGGCCCCACCCGAATTCGCGGTTGTCTTGTGTGTTCTGAGTAGGTGTAGGGCAGTGTAGGGTTTAGTGTTTAGGGTTTACAGGGTTTAGGTTTACAGGGTTTAGGGCTTAGGGTTTGTAGTCTTTAGGGTTTAGGGCTTAGGGAAATGTGTATTTTCCAGCTGAAAGGCAAAGGTTAGACTTTCTCCGCCCCAGGTGCCTCAGCCTGCAAGCTGCTGTAGGTCTCCAGGAAGCCTCCCCCCCTAAGCCCAACACTCCAGGAAGTCACGCCCAAGTCCGCGCAACGGTCCCCGCTGGTAGGAAGTAAGCTGATGACTGCCCTGAGCTGCGGTTTAGGGTTTAGGGTTTAGGGTTTAGGGTCTAGGGTTTAGGGTCTAGGGTTTAGGGTTTAGGGTTTAGGGTTTAGGGCTAGGATCCCTACCACGAGCCTCCTTGCACCAGAAGAAGAAGGGGCAGGCTTTTTTATTCTCAGGCAAAAGCCAGAAGCTGCCATGCCCGTCCCCCTCGGCCCCCATGACCTGGGCACCCTCCCGGCCATCGGCTCCTTAGTAGCTGAATGAGTACGCTTTGCGCTTTAGGGTTTAGGGTCTATAGGGTTTAGGATTTAGGGTTTAGGTTTTAGGGTTTAGGGTATAGGGTTTAGGATAGAACTGGAAGTGTACACTATTTTTGGGGCCTGATGAACTCAGCAACTAAGGCTCCTCGTCGTCCCTCCCGGAGAAGGGAGACCGAATCCATGCTTTTTGGGAGCGTGGGGCGCTGAGCTCTGCTGTTTTGTGTTTTGTGTTGCCAGCCTCCTTGTGGTCCGTACATATGTACATATATATATATATATATGGTACCCCCCTCCCCCCCAGAACCCACCCTCAAAGACATAAGGCTTCAGAATTTGGTTAACAATGGCCCAGTGTCAATTAACACTGTCCCAGTGTTAATTAACACGGCCGGAACCAAGAACCAAGAACCAAGATTTCCAGAAAAGTCTTGGGACGAATTTGGGTTCGCAGGGGATGGGACAGTGTTAATTAGCACCGGCCCAGTATTAATTAATACTGGCCCAGCATAAATTAATACTGGCCCAGTATTAATTAGCACGACCGGAACCAAGAACCACAAACCAAGATTCCCAGAAAAGTCTTGGGACGAATCTTGGTTCCCAGGGGATGGGACAGTGTTAATTAACACTGGCCCAGTATTGATTAATACTGGCCCAGTATTATTTAACACGACCGGAACCAAGAACCAAGAACCAGGATTCCCAGAAAGTCTTGGGACGAATCTATAATACTGGGCCAGTATTAATTGACACGACCCCGAACGAAGAACCAAGAACCAAGATTCCCAGAAAAGTCTTGCGGGAATTCTTGGTTCCCAGGGGATGGGGCCGTGTTAATTAACACGGGTCCCGTGTTAATTAACACGGCCGGAACCAAGAACCAAGAACCAAGATTCCCGGAAGGGTCTTGCGCGGATTCTTGGTTCCCAGGGGATGGGGCCGTGTTAATTAACACGGGCCCCGTGTTAACTAACACGCCCGGAACCAAGAACCAAGAACCAATATTCCCAGAAAAGTCTTGGGACGAATCTTGGTTCCCAGGGGATGGGGCCGTGTTAATTAACATATATTCTGTCAAGTCCGTGTTCTCTCTCTTTCAAAAGCCACCCTTCTTCCCGCGCGCTGCGTATAGCCGCTGGAGAGTATTCCGATGAAGCAGTTGGGGCGCCCTTGGAGGTCAAGTGCATGCAACGGTCATGCTGCTAGTCGCAAAGGGCCACATGAAGATCGACGAGGCAAGTCGAGCCCCAGCATTCAGAGCAGATAGGGGTTTAGGGTTTAGGGTTTAGGGTTTAGGGTTTAGGGTTTAGGGTTTAGAGCAGTGTGGGAGGGTGGGGGTAACCCTAAACCCTAAACCCTGCTAATAGACCCGTTACAGAACTTCTACTCCTTAAGGTCTCCTACAGCTCGGGGTTCCCCAGGCGAGTGCCCCGAAGACACCCGAAGAGGGTTGAGTAGGCCCTCATTCCTTTTTTCAGGATTTAGGTTCCATCATATGCCCATTCTTTTCACCAAAAAGGGCACGCTTTCTGTTCCTAGGTTACTCTAAGAGTAGTTTCTGGTTCGACTTTGTTTTCCATGACAAGAGTGGGACCCCATGACCGTTTGCCATTTCCTACATAATGTCATGCTTGGGGCCCAGTATGCGCAGTGAGTTGACAGCATTCCGTGCCAGGTGCGTCGTGGCCAGGAGTACTTGGACCCTTGCCTACTGTCTCTCGGGAATGCCATGTCACGAAAGGGTTTTTGTCAGAAGGTTGCTTCTCGAACTTCCGGAGTATGCTAACCCGCCCACCCAGCTCAAGAGCATGCTACCTAAACCTTGAACCCTAAACCCTAAGCACGAATAGGTGTTGGACTGCTGGTCTTCATATACCGCCCATTCCAGGAACCCTGAGAGTCAGTAAACCCCCCCAAAAACAGCTACATGCCTCGAAGTATCTAAGGATAAGTGGTACCTTTCCTCGTTATAGAAACTAGGAAGTTGCAGAAACTGGGGCTCAGAGTAGGCCCCTATTCCCTATGTTTTAGGGGGATCTCCTTTAAAAAAAGGGCCCCTGTTTATTCCTAGTCCCCAGATTTTCCAAAACCCCTTAATTAAGGAATGCACCCTAATACAAACCAAAGGTTCCTTATTATGAATCAGGGAATATTCCTTCATTAAGGGGTTCGGAAAGATCTGGGTGTTCGTAAACCCCATATCCTACTATTTGCTTAAGAACCCAAAAAGAATTAAAAAAAAAAAAAAAAACATAGTCATCCCTATATTACCCTTAATAGGGTATACAGGCAACACTAGGTCGGGCCTCAGCCTGCCGAAGTCGCCCGAAACTTCCCAGGAGCCACAGGTGTACCAGACTGCCTCGTACTACGAGAAGTGCCCCGGCCACCAGGTTTAGGGTTTAGGGTTTAGGGTTTAGGGTTTAGGGTTTAGGGTTTAGGGTACTTTGCTTTGCCTGAACTGGCTGAAGTTTTCATGTCAGTGGCCCGAAGTTTGGGCACCCCACGCCCTAAACAAGGCCCTGGCCATTTGTGCTGGCTGTTTGAGAATACAGGGCACGGGGAACCCCCTAGACAGAACTACGAACAGAAGCCGTGCCTGCCGTATACGAGTGCGAGAGTCGGGTATCGCAAGCCCTAAACCCTAAACCCTAAACCCTAAACCCTAAACCCTAAACCCTAAACCCTAAACCCTAAACCCTAAACCCTAAACCCCGAAGGGCCCTGAGCTCATGATCAGCAGGTGGGCCCTCTCTGTGGCCAACGCCATGCTGGAGCACCAGGTGCTCAGTAATCAGGTGCGACCCAGGGGTTAATGGGTTTAGGGGTTAGGGTTTAGGGTTTAGGGTGTAGGGTTTTGGGTTTAGGGTTTAGGGTTCGGGTGCAGGGTTTTGGGTTGTAGGGTTTTGGGTTTAGGGCTTAAGGCAATACGTGCGTGACTTGTAGTTATAAGCGTGTGGCAGGCACAGTGAGCTGTTGCACCTTGTTACCCAGTCAAGCGGCGCTTTTCACGGAATTATGTCCCAAAGCTCAGTTCTGTGCAGTTGTTTCAGGTTTCCGGTTTAGGAAACCAGCAAGCATGGAACTATGTGCTCTTGTTCAATATGCCTCAGAGAGTCTCAACGCATCCAAGGCACCGCCGCGAAGCTGTTCCAGCTTGAACTGAACGCGCGCGCATCCCTCACAACCACCGAAGTCACTTCGACGCACACACACACACACACACCTCTCAGAAAGAACCCTAAACCCTAAACCCTAAACCCTAAACCCTAAACCCTTTCAACCTGCAGTCAACAGCACTTAAACGTCCTAAGCCCTAAACCCTTATCAGTCCCAAATCCGAGGCCCTGAAACCTTGAAGTCTCTCAGAGAGATGAAGCGCTCCCCTGAAGCCTGCACTGCCTGCACGCGAAAGCCCGAGGAAGGTAAACTCCCTCAACCCTGAACCCTCATCCTAAGCCCTACCCTAAACCCTAAACCCTAAACCCTAAACCCTAAACCCTAAACCCTAAACCCTAAACCCTAAACCCCCTCAAAGAATAGTCGAGGAGCTTTCGGCTGCTTTGGGCCCTGAGACCGAGGATGAGGTGCAGAGGTGCCTCGAGCGGCAGCTCGGGTTTTTGGGCTCAGGGCTTGTAGGTTTAGGAATTAGGGTTTAGGGTTTAGGGTTTAGGGCTAGGGTTTAGGGTTTAGGGTTTAGGGTTTAGGGTCTAGGGTTTAGGGTTTAGGGTTCAGGATTTAGGGTTTTAGGGTTTCGGGGTATTAGGGGGTTGAGGTTAAGGTTTAGGGTTTAGGGTCTCACTTGAGAAAGTCCAGCTTGAAAAGGTTTAGTGGGCGCGCGTGCTTTTGTAGTCTAAATATAGTGGGGCCGGGGTGTATCATACCAGGAACCAAAAACGCTCGTTTTGAGAACTCGGCACATGAGGGCTTCACATTGGGGCATGATCGCAATTTTGGAGCCCTTTCCGGCTCTTGCGTTTCCTGTTTGCGATCACAGGCGCTAGAAGGGCCCCCGAGCTAGATCAGCCCCTCGTATGGGTCCCAAAATACGAGTCCGCCTCATTTCCGCCCAAAAATGACAGGAACCCGAGGCAAAGTGTACCTCCCTCTTAGGAAACCTCCCATATCCAGATCGCCCATACCCCATACCTTAAACCCTAAACCCTAAACGCCCATGTCACGAGTAGGTACCTATATGCAATACCGTTTGGCTTTCCCCCTAGTGGCGACTTGAAACTGCATGTACGGGTTCAGGGTTTAGGGTTTAGGATTTAGGGTTTAGGGTTTAGGGTTTAGGGTTTTAGGGTTTTAGGGTTTTAGGGTTTTAGGGTTTTAAAAAAGGGATTTAGGGTTTTAGGGTTTTAGGGTTTTAAGGTCACCTGGCAGAGTCACAGCAGGCCAGATGCAAAAAGGGTTTTAAGGTTTAGGGGTACGGGTTTGGTTTAGGTGTTGACGCTTGCGGCTGAAACCTTTGCTTAGATGAGGGATTTTGGGGCTTGCTGGTGGGCTTGAGGTTTGGTACTCAGGGTTCCAGTGGCTGTCTGGGCAATGTCTTGACATGTATGCTTCCACAGGCTTCGGGGATGTTGTCACTGAAGTTACTGAGGTTCGATATGTGTAGAAGTCAGGTTGCCCGCCATTAAAGAGTCAAAAGGGCATCCCCTACTCCATATCATGTACAGAGTACCTTGGGCTCATGCTAGCCGACTCCCTTCAGTTGGGGCCAAAGTTGTACCGGGGGGGGGGGGGAAGTTGGCCGCACTCGGCTGAGGTTTTTTCCTGGCGATGTCGTGCGAGTTCGCGACGCGTCCCACACAACTCGATGGCGCCGTCCACACCTGCGAACCCCGGGCTTCATCCACGGTGTATGTGGGGATCTCGGAGAATGCAGCGAGCTACCCTTGTGGACCAAATGAACCCTAAAAGGGTCTGTGGCTCATATACCCTAATAAGGATTACAGTGGTATAGGGTTATGACCCCAATTTTAGGGTTCATTTGGTCCCCAAGGACTTTGTCGGGCTGTGTTCGGGGATCTCCCCAAAAGTTCCGAAGACCTGTCATTCTAGGGTCTTGGGCTTTTGCATTTGCATGTCTTTAATTGCATAGGTGTTTCTTTTACTGAGATTTAAGTGGGCATGTGGAACCGACCCTTTTGAGCTTTTAGCAGTTGTGCCTGCATGATAAATAGCTCATCTCAAGTGGTCGAGCACAAATGCCCTCCGGGAAAATTCGATGGCTGAAGATCAGCTTTGACTCTCCTATAGACGCTAAACCCTAAACCCTAAACCCTAAAGCCCAAACAGACCCTTCAAACTCTCCACAAAATCTGTATTCATCCAGGCGGTACCATAGAGCGCCATGTGGGGAACTTCGAGAATCCAGAGCAGCCGCTTTGCCTGCAACCACGGTTTAGGGAGGGTTTAGGGTTTAGGGTTTGGGGTGAAACCTTGGAGGGTCATGGGTAGCCACAGCTGGGGATATAGGTAGGGTAACCATAGCTGTACTGGGGGTACCTGGTGCCTTACTTACAACGTATAACTTGCAGTTATTCACGAACCTCCAGGTAGAATTGAGGGAGCTGGGGGGTTTTCACGACTGCCAAGATTGCCCTGTAGGCCAGTATCTGTTAACGCGGCATCATCTGTGTAAGCTTTCGTTGTTGCTTCACTCCCACGTTCTCGCTCTCTCCCTCAATCTGTTATCTTTATTGATTTCGTTATTTCTTTAATTTATTCATTTATCCATTTGCTTATTTCTTTCACGTGCCTTCGCTTGTTCTTTCTTTCTTTATGTCTTCATTTATGTCTTTATTTCTTTCGTTCTTTATTTTGTTTCGCTCTTCATTTGTTTCCTTCGTTCTTTGTTTCTTTGTTTCTTTCTCTCTCTCCCACGCTCCCTCCCTCCTGCTTCCCTCCCCCCAAGGAAGTGGGCAACACCCCTTGCTGCCCCGCAGCTGAAAAATGCATTGACATGCACATGAAACCCTAAACCCTAAACCCTAAACCCTAAACCCTAAACCCTAAACCCTAAACCCTAAACCCTAAACCCTAAACCCTAAACCCTACACCACGAGGGAGCCGTTGTGGTGTTGTGGGCCCTTGCACTGGGTGCAAGGGACAATTCAACAGGTTTGCAGGGTAGAATCTCAACCCCAAAACCCCGGACCCGGAGTAGCCCTTTGCTCCCACATATCATAATGTAATAGAGTAAATTATAAAAACAGCGAATAACGAATAACAACAAAGCAAAAGGAAGGACAACACTAGATTTTATCAATTGGTTTGGTCATTTGGTTTTTATGCGTTTTCAGTTGATTTGCTCCCCTTTTGTAGGGTTCAGGTCCCCTGAAAAGTCCCTGTAGGCCAAGAAGCGCACCCTTTTGATTCCTAGGGGTACTCTTGGGCTTAAAAACGCAAACCCAACATTAAGCCCTAAACCCTAGACCCTAAACCCTAAACCCTAAACCCTCTTTCCTGAGGCTCGCATTTGGAGGCAAGAGCTGGTCAACTATTCCGTGCCTCGAGCTTGAGTTGGTTTTTTAAGGGTACCTGCAGGGTTTAGGGTTTAGGGTTTAGGGTTTAGGGTTTAGGGTTTAGGGTTTAGGGTTTAGGGGTCCAAGGTTTTAGGGTTCAGTGGTTGAAGGGTTTCGGGTTTATAAGGGTTTGTATAGGGCTTAGGGCTTATGAGCGTCTGACCACTTCCCAAATGGCAAGTAGAAGGGCTGGCAGGTTTGTGTTCGCACTGTTTCCGCTCGGTACATGGGACCCTCGGTCCGGCTTACCCTTAACTGGGTCTTGGAGTACTATACTTTAATACTTTTCTTGGTTCTGGGCTCCTATTATAGCTACTTATACCTAAAAAAGTATATACTTTTTTTCCAGGGTCTACTCCAAAGCTAAGTTAAGGGGTGAGCTGTGGAGCCCGAAGACAGAGTCTGAAGTTTTGAGCTCTCGAAACGTCCATCTGGGCCCCTTAGAGTCTTTTTTCCCTATAAAACTCTAAACCCTAAACCCTAAACCCTGAACCCCAAACATGCAAACCTGGTCCCTTTTAATGCCCCCAGCCTCCGAGTACGTCCCAAAGGGTCCATGTATCCATATGGTATGTACTTGGGCCTTACAGGGGTTCCCAGCTTTAGGGATCACATATAGACTCTATGGTACATGGACCCTAAACCCCAAACCCTAAACCCTAAACCCTCTTCACCAGGCTTTACATTGTCCGCTTCGATGCCAGCAGCATCCAGGACTTTGATTCCGGCGAGCGGGGGATGGACCAGGCCTGCATGGTCTGGCCATGGTGTTTAGGATTTAGGGTGTAGGGCTTTTCGGGTTTAAGGTGTAGGGTTTTGGGTTTAGGGCTTCTTTTCGGGTTTAGGGATGAGGGTTTAGGGTTCCCTAGCATGATTGGCACCCTACACCATAGGGTTTAGGGTTTAGGGTTTAGGGTTTTGGGTTTAGGGTTTAGGGTTTAGGTATTTGTATGACCATGTCGCAGAAAGCGCGAGCAACGAACTGTACAAACACTATAGAGATGCAACACACTAATTACTGCCCATCCTGTGCTGTTCACAGGCGAATGAACCCACAATACAGGCATCATCGCCTTCAGGCTTAGAAGAAGGAATGCCAAAACAGGGTTTAGAGTTTGTAATTTGCAGAGCCTTACGTTCGTTACATGGTCCGCTAGTATGGGCCCTTCAACGGGGGCTCCTTACATAACCCTTAGACACCCTCGAAAGCACAAGGGCCCATGCTTCAGCACCCTTTTAAAGAAGGAAAGGGAGCACATGAAGGGTTTAGGGTTTAGGGTTTAGGGACTACCCAGAGAGATTGGTTGAGTCAGAGGGTGTGTTCCAAGGGCGTGGGACTGAACCCCAAACCTTGAACCCTAAACCCTAAACCCTTAACCCTAAACCCTGTCACTCTGGCATGTCGAGGTGACGGTGGACATCTACCAGAGTTGGCTCGCCCCTGCGGACGCTGCTGCGCCCCTCGTTCTACAGGCTCTAAATGGCCAAAAGTAGGTATTATTCACAGACTTTAAAACCCCAATGTAGGTGCTATTTCTATTCTTGGAGCCCTAGGGTGAAGCCCGAAACCCTGAACTTGGGTTTAGGGTTCAGGGTTGAGGGTTCAGGGTTCAGGGTTTGCGTCCTCGAAGCATGCAGCGCGCGGACCAGACTCCCTGCCACGTATACCCCGGACGCCTCGGATGTTAGATTTTTTTTGCAACGGAACTACTAGGAAGTCTGTGGCTAAAAGGAAGTACCGTTAAGTCTCTAGCGGCTAGCTACATTCAACAAACCCTAAACCAAGAACCCTGACCTTAAACTAAATCCTAAAGCCAGAATGTTAAGCTACAAGCCGTCAGGGTTTATAGGGTTTAGGCCAGGGCCTGTTAAGGGTTTAAGGTTTATAGGGTTTCTAGAATTATAGGGTTTAAGGTTTAAGGGGTTTATAGGGTTTAAGGTTTATGGGGTTTATAGGGTTTAAGGTTCATAGGGTTTATAGGGCTGACAGGGTTTCCAAGCTCATGCACAAGGCTGGAGGGTCAGCGCAAGAAGCGCCCTGCCGACTTGGCTGCCGAGCAGCCACAGAGCCATCCAGAAGCTTGCCGTATGTCCGTATAGGGAAGGGTTTAGGATTTAGGGTGTAGGGTTTAGGGTTGAGGGTTTAGGGTTTAGGGTTTAGGGTTTAGGGTTTAGGGTTTAGGGTTTAGGGGGGGGGGGGGGGGGGTCCCTCCTACTCATGTACAAGTTATGTAGCTTGATAAATATATGTGTGACAAGTCTAATAGGCTTGTCACACGGTTATACTCCTCTCAACAGGGGATTTTGTGATGTAGGACTCTTGAGGGCGTTGAAGGTCAACAGGGTTCATGGTTCGTTGTAACAGTTGAAAGCCAAGGCAAGTCGGGGGTTGGTTTCTTTGTTGTCAGGCCTGTTCTGGCAGACTCCACCTTTATGAGAATGAAGGTTTAGGGTTTAGGGTTTAGGGTTTAGGTTTCAGAGTTTAGAGTTTAGGGTTTTTAAGGGTTTTGGTTCGCTCTTAGCTTGCTGGCTCGGCTCTGAGTTTCACGTACCCGGCAGTCGATACGAGGCCTGGATGATAAAGTGTTTTGGTTTAGGGATTCGGGTTTTGGGTTTAGGGGTTTAGGGGTTTCGGGGTGTCGGGGTTTCGGGGTTTAGGGGTTTCGGGGTTTTGGGGTTTTGCTGTTTAGGGTTCAGGGTGTAGGGTTTGCAGCGGAAGAGGCCCTCGGTGTTGCAGGATTTCACTGCAGATCCGAAACCGCAAGCTCCACAACCCCGAGCCTTGTGGGTTTAGGGTTTATACAGGCTGGTGGTCTCTTTAAGTAGGTTTCTGTTTTGTAGGGGGTTCTTATGAGGGTATCTGGGGGCTATATGAAGGTATAAGGGTAACAGATAATTCTAACTGTACTTGTAACCCACTTATAAGCCCCTTTAAGTGCCCTAATGTGGTTATAAGTACAGTTATAAGTACAGTTATAAGTACAGTTATAATTACTTACTAGGTAGCATGAACCTCCAAGTAATACTTGGGCAGAAGGGCCCCCCAAGCATATACTATGTAGGTACATGGATTGTAAACCGTAAACCCAAAGCCCGAGATCCTCAACCCTAAACCCCAAACCCTAAACCCTAAACCCTAAACCCTAAACCCTGAACCCTAAACCCAGGACTGCAAGCGTGCACGGACTGATGAGCACACAGCACACCAGGCGGACGTTTCGAGCTTACCTGGGGGACCAAAAATGAACCCCACAATTGGGGGCATATACCTTAAAATTAAGGTCATAGGGGTTTAGGGTTTAGGGTTTAGGGTTTAGGGTTTAGGGTTTACGGCATACACCTACCCAAAGAGCCCAGTATTCCTTAATTAGGGGTCCTAGGGATTTAGGGTTTAGGGTTTACGGCATACACCTACCCAAAGAGCCCAATATTCCTTAATTAGGGAGTATTGTTCAATTTACATAGGGATTCTTAATGGGATTTAAGGTATATTCCTTGGAGAAGGGGTATTGGGCTCTTTGGGTACCTAGGGGACCAAATAAAATGAACCAACGATTGGGGGTCATATACCCTACACTACGATATTCTCTATGAGGGTATATGAACAGAATGTTACTACGATACTCACAATAGGGTATATGAACCATAACACCTTTTTAAGGTTCATTCGGCGCGCCCACAAGATATTTTGAGCATTGAATCTCAATTCCACTTCTGTCTCTCCACCAAAGATCAACCCTAAACCCTAAACCCTAAACCCTAAACCCTAAACCCTAAACCCTAAACCCTAAACCCTAAACCCTAAACCCTAAACCCTAAACCCTGACACACAACATTTGCCAGACTAAGGCATGTGCCCTTAGCAACATGCCCGATCAGGAACTGCAACCTGCAGCCCCTCTGACCCAGTCTGAAATACTTGTTGTCAACCCCTAAACTCTAAACTCTAAACCCTAAACCCTAAGCCCTAAACCCTAAACCCTAAACCCTAAACCCTTTGTGTGGGGTACCAACATTCTGTGGTAGTGTCGGATGCCACCGTCTATCAGACCACCTGCGCAGTGAAGGACCATGTGCACGACCATGTCCACGAGGACCGCAACCGCCCTGTGGGCTGAGGGTGTGCAGGCTAGTGGTTCACCCTAAACCCTAAACCCTAAACCCTAAACCCTAAACCCTAAACCCTAAACCCTAAACCCTAAACCCTAAACCCTAAACCCTAAACCCTAAACCCTAAACCCTATCAGCTGCGATGTCTAGAGGAAGATCCCCTTGCTGTCAGAAGCATCCGGGCGTCAACCCCTGAAAGCCAAGAAACCCAACCCTAAACCCCGAATCGTTTGAGACAAACGCTAGGGGTCCATGTACCTAAAATAGGGAATACTTGCTTGGGCCTTAAAGTACCTCCTATTTAGGGACTTTTTGGGCCCAAGTATATACTAACGAGGTACATGGACCCTTAGGGAAACGCTAGGCGCCCTTTGTGGGGCCCATGGGGGTTTCTAGGGTTTGTGGCGTGGACGGTCTATCGGGTTTATGGGGTTTCGAGGCTTTATGGCTTTAGAGGCGGGACCTCCTTAAGCGCGTCAGGCCTACCCTGAGTGAATAGGGTGCCTCTTCTTATTTTCGGACGACCTATGTTTCAAATGTAAATACTGATGTATACATATTCTCCCTTGGAAGGGCTGTACGGGCATATAAGTACCTAGAACCTAGTTCCTGGATTCTAAGAATATTTCGACATACCCCAAACCCATGCCCCTTAACCTGCAAAATGAGAAACCTAAGGAAGGACGTTACCACACCCCTTAATTTCTGGTAAGGGGTAGGCCCAAGGGTTATGTTGAATATTTCTTAGGTTTTTTCGTTTGAGAACCGAGCTCGTTTGCTGGAGGAGCGGCACACCGTCGAGCAGCGAGCTGTGGACGCCGAGGCTGCTCGGTGGATTCATGTTCTGGTTTTGGGTGTGGGGTTTAGGGTTTAGGGTTTAGGGTTTGGGGTTCAGGGTTTAGGGTTGAGGGTTGAGGGTTGAGGGTTTAGGTTGTGGGGTGTAGGGTTTCAGAATGGTCAGGGAGCCATAAGCTCTCTAAACCTTGCACCGTTTGTTTTGGGGTCAGGGGTCCTCGAAACTTTGCGGCAATGCGCACGAATCGTCTGTAGTATGTTGCCACAGCCATTCGGGTTGCCCTACCCTAACTTATAAGTGTAATACAGTACGTACCCCTCCCCCCCCCCCCCCCCCCCCCCCCCCCCCGGTTCTGGCAAGCTACCGCGAAGAGACTCATAGCGAATCGGTTCATGAGACGAGAACACGCTGTTAAACCATCATATCAGAGTGACGCCTGAAGCCCCCCTAAACCCCAAAACTGAAGGCAAAAAGACCTAAGCCCCAAGCCCTAAACCCTAAAGCCCTAAGCCCCAAGCCCTAAGTCCTACGTTACATGGTATGGTGGGCTTCCCAAATGTCTGTTTTGGGTAATTACCTGTGTACCGTCCAAAGGGTTTAAGGTTTTCAGGGTTTAGGGAAAGGCTCCATACTACAACTTTATCCCGTCGGATCAGTCGGTGAATTGGCATGCCGCCGTGTAGTTTTCAGTGCACGGTGCTCAGGCATCAGAGAGCGCCGCTGAGTATTTTGCAACCGGAACTGAAAGATACCATACTCGCGGATTTTACCTTAGTAGTAGAGTAGGTAACCTTTTAACCTTTTTGGGGTAGTATAGTCCCCTTAGAATCCCAAAGGTTAACCTTTAATTTTTGCCAGGTTACTGGACAACTAAGTTATAAACCCTAAACCCTAAACCATAAACGCTGAGTTTAGGGGTTCGGGTTTAGGGTGCTGGCTAGGCTGCCTGCCCCGCCATCGCGCGAGCTTTGGTCTCTGCGCTTCTCACGAAAGGCCACCGGCCTGTTTAGGGTTTAGGGTTTAGGGTTTAGGGTTCAGGCTCTAAATCTAGGGTGTTGGTCGTGTCTACTTGGAAGTTCAGGGTATTTATACCCCATCTATAGCTGCACTTGCAGGCCCCCCAAGCCCTTTAAGTAGGTCATAAGTAGTCTTACAACTGGGGTTCTAAGTACCCTTGAACCTTCTGTTTCTATTTGGGCTTTATCATTTCGGGATTGAGGCAGAAGGCACGTGAAGAGCTTGGCTTCATGCACGTTTGGCCCGGCTCTCGCGTGGTTTGCTGATGTGTGGTCAGCTTTCCAAATGATGGTCCCTTATTTTTGGGTTACCCTGATAAACCCTAAACCCTGAACCCTAAACCCTAAACCCTGATATAAGAGGGGCCGCCTTAGAATCAGGAGCCCCAGAAGCCCTAAACCTTAAACCCTAAACCCTAAACCCTAAACCCTAAACCCTAAACCCTAAACCCTAAACGAACGTGTCATGGCATGGGGCTGAAAACACCGCAGGTGTGCTTGCACATATACATAGACACATACCCAAAGGGTCCATGTAACCATTTAGTATGTACTTGGGCCCTAAAGCTACTATATGGGGACGCCTTTAAGGCCCAAGTATATACGATTACGGGTACATGGACCCTTTGGGATACATACACAGGTGCATGTACACGTGAACAACCACATGCACCGACACATTCACACACACACACACATTCTTGACACTACCGGAGTTTATCCAAGATCTCCTTGCCAGCAGCATACAGATGTCTCCGCAATGCACGTTCAGGGTTTAGGGTTTAGGGTTTGGGGTTTAGGGTTTAGGGTCTAGGGTCTAGGGTTGAGGGTTTAGGGTTTAGGGCTTAGGGTTTCGGGTTTAGGGGTTCCTGAACATGTGCGGCTTTGCATCGGTCATTTGGGGTCTCACACCGCACAGGCCTTTCAGGGGTTGACGCTTTACGGTGCAGGGTCTTGGACCTACGCGAACACCCTGATACCATAAACCCTAAACCCTAGACCCTAAATCCTGACCCAAAACCCTAAACCCTAGACCCTAAACCCTAAACCCCCTTTCTTCACCACTGGACCATACAGATGAACTTTGCGCTCGTTGGGGCACGTTAATTTTGCAGGAATACTGAAGTTGAAGCACTTGCCTTTCCATTCTCATGGTCCATGCAATATGTTCACATACGTGGGCCCCAAAGTCCCTATGTAGGAAGCACGTCAACGCCAAGTATTCCCTATTTAGGCACATGGACCCTGCACCCTAAACCCCAAACCCTAAACCCTTAGGCACATGGACCCTTAGGAGAGGTGGATCCATCTGAAGTTGGTGCAAGGTGTCATCGGGGCGGAGGAGTTGCGAGCTGGCATCGAGAAGGCCCGGGATGCACCAGCCCTCCGTGGGTTTAGGGTTTAGGGTTTAGGGTTTAGGGTTTAGGGTTTAGGGTTTAGGGTTTAGGGTTTAGGG